TCTCTTCTGGAAGATGAGATTTTGAAACTTGAAAAGATCAGTGGAGCTCAAAATCCGGTAGATATGTTGACAAAGACGGTGACTACAGACAAACTGAAGTTGTGTTCAACTTCAGTTGGCATGCTAGAGTAACAAGACTAGAAAAGCTGTTGCATTGATCGAGGTGTGAAGACAGATTAAAATCAGTCTTCAAGTGGGAGATTGTTGAAAGTATTAAAATGGTTTTCAAGTTTGGTAACCAACTTTGAAAAAATGGTTTTCAAAGTTTGGTAAATGTTTCTTTGAAAATGGTTTTCAAAGTTTGGTAAATGTTTCTTTGAAAAATAGTTTTTCAAAGTTTGGTAGATGTTTGTTGAAAAATGATAATGGGATAATCACAATTAATCCCTAGGTTTTAGGGTATTTACAAGATTAAGTCCTTAAGTTTCAACTATAAATACCCTAGCTCATTTAGCTTCAAAACTATCCCAAAAATCATTTCTTTCTCCCAATACTAGAGAGTTTTATTGTGAGTAGTGAGTGTTTTGTAAACACCTGTAAATTTTCTCTCTTAGTAAAAGATCTGCAGCAGTCCGGAGACGTAAGTACAATTGGCTGAACTCCGTTATCAATTTCGGGTATTATTGTTCCGCTTTTATTTTGCATTCTCACTAATCTGGTTATAGAAAAATTACTTGTACTTGGTTTATTTCCCAACAGTTAACCCTTCAAATTAGGTAAGCCAGACTACATTAAATTTGAGTAAATTTGTTTTAAAAATTCGTTAAATATCATACAACTAAAATTATATATAATTTTTTGGATACAATTTTAAATTATCCATAATTTATTGAATTCCAAAAATTAAATTAAAATAGTACACGTCTAAACATCAAATTAATAATATTTATATTTTCACAATAAAATTTGATATGATACATTTTAATTTAACATAAACAAATTCAACTCAAAATTTACTTTAAAATTTGATATAATTTTGGTTATCATAGTATTTTTAGGATGACAATGAATCAATGTTTGGTAGAATTTTGGTTGATCTAGGTATTATATTTTTTTACATGACACTAGACTCAAATTGAGTTTAAAAAAATTCCAGCCAACCGTAAAATTTAATATGATTATAAAAATTTTATTTTCACTTGATAAAATAATTATCTAATTAAAAAATATAAAGATAATGATATTATATTAATTACATCTAAATATAGAGAAGAAAAATGTACTATTGTCTTTGGTTGAGTAAGGTATTTTTTATCCTAAGTCTGAATCTAGTCTTATTTTTCATAAAACTCAATCCGAACTCAAATTAAGAAAATCAATCTTAAAAAATTAAGTCGGATTAAAATTTATCAGATCTAGATTAAATTACCATCTTAATGTTTTTAGTATTTTGGGGTTTGAGATGTTGATGTTGGAGGGAAAAGACATGAATCCTCAACGAGAGACGAGGTTCATGTGTGAGCTAATAAAAGGAGCAATGTTTGCATCAGACAAAGTTGGCCTTCACAATAAATGAAGATTGAGACATGAGAGAGATAGATGAAGAAATATAATACATAGTCCCCTTTTGATGTTTTACCATTTTACTTCCTAAATTTACCATCATATACGGTTTAATTATATATTCAATTTTACAAAATATGTTTAATGAAAACAACTTTTTATTGTTTTAAAATTTTCACATATTTTTATTTTTAATATTTTTAAAAAAAGTATCAGACATGTTTTCTCTCATATTTTCCTTTTTTTAAATAAAATAAAAATAGCTCATATTTTTTTATTGAAATCGTTGATTTTATAAAATTATTATCTACATTTATATTTTTTTATTTTTAGATTTTATAAAACTTTATTTTTTAGTAGTTTAAGGTGATTACAAGATACATTTGTTCAAAAAATTTCAATTAGTCGATAACACATACATCCTACAGATGCTACTACTCAAACCTAAGACCTCTAAGCAAGGGCGAAGCTAAAAAATTATTTTGGGGTGTCAAATTTAGAGATTGTATGAAGAATTTTTTTTAAGTGGATGAAAATAAATAATAAGTGTTAACTTATGTTTAAAGGTGTCAATATTCTTTTAAAAATATATTAATGTTATTTTTTAAAATATTTTATATTAAATTTATGTAAAAGAATTCAAAAAATTTTGGGATGTAACTCTCTCTGGCGGAATCCTCTAAGAAGAATACCATTTATTTTATTATTAAAATTATTTGATGAGTTTAAAATTTTTATATTTTTAATAACAAAATAATCAAACGATGACATAGTACGATCTTAGAGTGTCAGTCCATCGTATATTGACGACATTACAAACATAGGACGAAAGGTGTGATAAAATGGAAGTTTAGGTACTAATACAAGAGTAAATGTTAAGTTGAGGGTTCAAATAGATAATTAAGCCTACATATAAATATTCTGCAAAATGGGGCTCAACCTTTGGACGATTACATTTATATGTCCTAATTACTTCACCCCATGTGAGCAGCGAGCGCTCCTCGCACCTATGGACCATTGAGCAGATACAACTGTTCAATTTAATTGAAGAAATAATTAAAATAAATTAGTAAAACTATGGGTAAATTATCCATTCAGTCATTAAAGTATAAGCCCGGTTCTATTTTGGCCACTAAACAAATTTCACCAATGCAATTAAATTAGAAATATACGAGGCTTAAACATGAGTTTACCTTATTTCCAGTTAATAATGTAAAATAAATCAAAATACTTTAATTATTTGAATCTAGTTTGCTTTTTTTTTAAAAAAATTGCATGCAAACTATAAGCTTCAAACGATAAATTATTCAGATATAACATGATAGTAACTTCCCGTATTCAAATTAAACGATAAACCTTAAATTAAACTTTTAGTTAAATTTTATATTTATTCTTATCTAATTAAGGAATTCGATTACAGTCTATATTCGTCTTCAAATCCTATCATGTATGAATTTAGTTTAGATATACTATAATAAATTTGTTTAGATATAACATGATAATAATCTCTGTATTCACATTAAAACCAACAAAGACAGTATGACACGTAGGGGTCTTGACCCCTTATTAAATGGTTAAATTATTCTTTAGTCCCCATAAATACGAATAATATAATTTAAGTCTTTAACCCTTTTACTAAATGAGAATGATGTTTTTACCCTTTTCAAAAATAATCATTTTAGAATAACCTTTTATTTTTAATGCCTAAAATTTTATAATTCTATCTCGATTTATTCTACATATTATCTAACTCTGTCTTTAAAACTATATAGAGAGATAAATACAAAATTTTATATTGAAGTCGTAAACTTCATATTAAAATTTTAGGGAGTGTGAAATTATATCTTTGATCGATCTTATATATATGTATTATAAAAATAATGAAGTGAGTTGTCAATAGATTACACTGCCTGATCTGAGTGTATAATGCTATGGTTGAAAAGAAAAAAAAAGTTGGAACTGAATTGGTTTGTCGCAATGTCTCGTTTCTACCACATTCATCATTATCTTAACGCCACATGCTCCGTTGACTCTCAATTATGATTGGGCTAAACTATATCAATGACCCTTTAATTAAGGGGTAGATTTAATTTAACCACCGATCTATTAATTTTTCAATTAAAATTATTTAACTATTTAAATGATATTAAATAAGTCATCTATAGTTAACATTTAAAGGAGCGGTTACGTTCCAGTTAGAATAATAGACATAATACACATTGGGTCCTCATTACTTAAATATTTTATCAATTTGATCTTATTTTTAATTTAATTCAATAAATATTATCCTCTAATAAGATGTATAGGTAACGGGGACCAAATGCATAATTATGCCTATTCTAACTTTCATGTCAGTTTCTCCGTTAAATTTCAACAACATATGGCTTAATTGATACTATTTAGATAATTAAGTGACTTGATTGAAAAACAAATTAATAGATCAAAGATCAAATTGGAACCACCCATAATTAATTGGTCATTCGTGTAGTTTGAGCATGTTATTATTATTATTAACCTTGTCGTTTTATGCCACTTAATTTATTCAATAATTGATAATAATTAATTAATTGAATTATTATTTTTATTCTCCACGTCACTAAGCTTCTTTTAATTAATCCACCTGGACAAACATCTTTAAAGCTACATGCTAAGAAGATACGATTCCATAAAATAATGATTTTTTATACACTCTTACACATGTTTTATTCTTTCATTTTTAAATATTTATCATCTTCTTAATCCCAATATAAATTATTTATTTTTTAAAAATCCATGTAATGATTTATAAAAAGATTTTCTCCTAAAATAAAGGGGCATGATTTCACCACATTGTATGCATACAAAACTTTCTAAACTAAAGGAATACGGGACTTAATATGCTGATTCTTTGCAATCATTCTTATGAGTTATGACTTATACGAGTTTTTTTTATCACTTTTTATAATTCTTTTTACATTTTTTAATATATATATATATATATATATGTTTTAACAATTTAAATATTTTTTACATTTATTAATATTTTATGTACATTTGTCTTGTAACAGTATCACTTGTAGGTAATATGACAATAGACGAAATAATACTTTCAAGTACATAAACAACCTACTAAATTCCTTTCCTTTTTATTCTTTATGTATTAAAAGGGTTTACAAACAGATCGAGTCGTCTCGAATTAAAAACCACATTGTGTCAAGTTCGATTTGAATCGCATCAAACCTACTAAATTCAACAAATAACTCGAACCTCGAATACAACTATATGTTATACTATGAAAACATGTGTTTCAGGCATACTTTAATAGCAATGACATGGACAGGAATGATGTTCCTGAAACATACCTCTTTGAATGATAAAACTAACAGTCTGGTTAAGATCAAACCTTAAACATCAACAACCAAGAATACACAAGGATAACAATGTTCTTTCAGCTACAATCTTATTCCTCACTTTTTTGTTTGAATAAAATGGAGACATCTCGATTTTGGCATCATACAGAACATATGGTCCAACTAGCTCCCTCGGTAAGTTGAGAATGAGAATGGTGAAAGCAGCAGAGGGACGTGAAAGTGCTCCAATGTCTGAGTCTCTTTGATTTCAAACACAATCGAGACGTAAGGGAAAAAGCCTCCAGGGTTGTACTTACCAGTGTTAAAATTTATTCGGTATACACCGGGGACAAGAGCGTCTACAATGCTCATTAACTGACCACTCCGACCATCTCTGTCTGTAGTTGAAGATCCTTCGAGTACCCATCTTCCCATATCAGTCTCACCAAATGATGGATGAGGTTGACTGCCCTCCCACATTTCCAGACGTACTTCAATACCAGCTGCTGGACAGCCCTTAGAAACATCTAATACATGAGTAGTAATCGGTGGTCGAGTTCGAGCTTGGACTTGAGGTGCTTTTGCAGGAAAGCCTTCTGAAGTAGCAGTTAAATGCTGTCCAATTATGCCCACACGTTCTTCTAGTTTTAAAAAACAGAAGAAAACAATGTATGAATACTGACCTAAATCCAAACAACTGCAAAGCATGCATGGAAAAAAATGATGATAAAAAACAATAACAAAAATAATATATACCCAATTTTTTAAACAAAATTGTAAGTATCCCTTCTGTTTTAGAATTGTTTTCCCCAACAGATTAACCATTCATCTTGTAATAAGACATGTGTTACCATGCATTGGTAGGAATGGATGGTCAGAACTTGAGGTACTTCTATATCATTTCATCTAGTAAGGTCATCAGTCAATAGAATAAACTACGCTAGCCGTGAGAAACGTTGCAATGAGTAAGCTTTCATTTTGCCTAAGAATATGGTTGTCAGATGCTTTTGGTAGTCTGACTCAACAATGGTTGTTAAAAAGGTTCTTAAACAGTTGAAAGACAAGGATCCGTAATGATTATTATTATTCTTCATTGTCAACAATTAGAGTAAGGATGGAATCGTGTTCTTCAACATATTTACAGAGGTGCTAACTATCGTGCAGATTGACTTACTTCGAATAGTCATCATCTCTCATTTGATTTAACAAGGTTGGATGAATCTCCTTATCTTCTAGTTCATATAATGCAAGAACATTGCATCGGCATTGGTAGGAATAGAGCTTATGTCTCTTAATGTATATTCCCGCTCATATACCCCAAAACATAATGCAAGTGTTGAGAATCTTTGTATGAACAATCAAAGGGAAAGTGATGTTTTTGAAGAAAAACTGTTAAAAAGGAGGCAGAAAGGAAAGCGAAAATTACTTTCAGCTTTACTTGCTACTACTGATGAATACCGGCTTCTTGCTGAATCAGCTTTCATTTTAGTCGAGAAAAGCTTTCTAAGGCGCAATTCTGTTACTTTCATTTGCTCCTGAGATGCTATCTCAAGCTCAAGTATGGGCCTGTTTGAGTACCGATTCTGCAAGAGCAAATTTTAGAATAATTCATGTCAACTTCTGAAAGGCTTCAGAATACTCGATTGGCCGGCTAACGCATATTTAAAAAGACAAAGATAGGCATACGGTGGCCTACAGAAATTAGATATAATAACTTTAAAAGATAAGAGATTGTACAAGGACATGTTCTCAGTCAAGTGATATGCTCAGGTAATTCATTGTTTTATTACAAGAAAAACTATAAGCATAAGGCCAGGTTAGAGGGGCCAGAAATATTTCACCATTAGCATAAAATTCATGCACTTAACAACTGCTTTGCAAGTAATGAACTACTTTAGGACAATTACTCAATCAAAAGGTTGCAATTTCCAAGCAAACAATCAATTTTTTTAATCCCAAACTCCTTTGTAAAGGAGTCATTTGAAGAAAGCACAAGTCTTAGATTACAGCAACTGCAAAAGCAATATTAGTGCAAGCTTTACCAGTTTACCTTCAATTCACCAAGTATCTCAGCAGCACTCCTCCCAGCAGAACATATCAGAAATACATGTCCAAATTTTTGCCTATACCGAGCATTCCAATCAGATAGTTCCTGTAAGGCCAAGGTCATCATTCATTTGTAAAAGGCATAACTAAGTATATAATTGTTAATGCTACATGGTTAACTGTGCACTGTGGAAGGGTGCAGTATGGCAGCTTGGCAATCCTGTTTCTTAAGAGCCAAGTTTTCAGAGCCTAAACATATTCTAATTGTTCAAGTGAAGAACAAGTCCAACCCCCAGCATCAGTGGCAGTTGCTAAAGCAGTTGATTGTTCTCCCTTACTCCACCTGTATTAGAAAAAAGGAATAATTTCAACTAATAATAAAAACTAAAAAAAATCCATACTTTTAAAAGAGGAAAATTTCAAAGAATACATGTAATTGGGCAGGGGATTACAATTAAAAGAATTCTAAACTATTCCACTTTCTTTCTAGCAAGTGTTGAAGGGTTTGAAAACGAGACCGGAACTTGTTTTATTTTACTGTTCATACCATACTAAATATACGTTGGGATGGGACATGATGTTGTCAAAAGTAGGGAAAGGAAACACTACAAGGCAGATTGAAAACCCAATTACAAAGAAAATCTAAAATGTTTGGTCAAAAGAAAGGAAAATTATATCCGCAATGCTTGTATTTTGTTTCATTTGTTTTGATTCACATTTTTCTGTCAACTGATTTCCATCAAACCATCAAAACATGTCATTAAGAAAAAGCAGAAAATACATGAGATGAGATGTAAAAAAAATACAAAAGTTAAATTCAAATGAGAAAGGAATATGCAATTTACGCTACTTTTGGTTGGAGTGTTAATTGTTCCTCATGTTTTAGTATATGAGTTGGCAATAAATTACCTTCCCTAGGTAATTTTAGTCATTCACATGGCTTAATTTGAACAAAGATAAGGAATATATATTGCTTATTTTGAATAGGTATTAGTTTTACTCATCTTTCTAACTTCAAGTTTAGAATTATACAAATTCTTCTTTATATTAGACAAACTACTTCAAAACTCATGCAATAATAAGCTTTTTCCTTATGTTATTACTTCTGTAACAAAAGTGACATTAATGATGTAATGGATACATCATAGGCAAAAGTTTAAGTCTAAACTCTAAGCAATTAAATTTGATAGAATTGAAAGAGGGTGTTTTCCATTTTTTTCTCATTATTGTTACTGTCGTTTGGAACCAAGGAATTCAAAGCTAAAAGTACAAGATAAGAGATTTATAGGAATAAAAAAATGTAAGATTAACTTGGGTTAGCAGGTGATGAAGATTCATAGCACAAGAAAATAGGATATAGAATGATAAGATCAATATAGAAGTAAAATCCTAAGCTAAAAGCTTTGACCAAAAAGGAAAAAAGGAATAAACACGAACTGAGCACTGGTGGTGTGAGAAGAAGGGGATTCTCCAATCTGAGGATGAGCTGCAAATGCTTCCAAACAACCAATAATATCAACCTTCACCAATCAAATTAATATAGTTATTATGATTATTGTTTAGCAAAAACTGAATAAGAATAATAGATTAACGATGATATATATTTAAACCAAAAAGGACAAAAAAGAAGCGACCTTGTTGAACCAGATATCCTTGGCTATAGAGATTGCATGATCCAGTGAAGGAAATGGAGATGCCATAGCCATTTGCTTAGCGAATTGGGTGCTACCGCAGCATGCCAGCACTTCCTTCTCATCCACCTTTATCTCCTTGTTATGGTTTAAGTCGATTAGAAGAGAAATAGAGGAATAGATAAGAGAAATAGAGAGAAATTTAGAAAGAATTAAGAGAGGAATAGCTAGTTCATTCATAACATCCCATTCAGATTGATTCTACAACATTTTATTTAGTTACAGGGCTCCAATTGTCATTTAATAATGAGCCAGTTGTCTGTACTATTAACAACCTATAACAGACTAATATTCTTCTCTCCTTGCAGGTTGTTGGGCCACCAAGCTGGGATGCTTCACTTTTCCCGTATGAAGACTTGGGCCGACCCACTTCTGCCAGCACCCTTATCAGGTAACTTCTCTTCATCAGGTAAACGCTTCAATTCTTTTTCTCCTCTTCCAATCCCTAAATTCCCTTTTTCAATTCCCTCTCGAGCCTCAATCCCTAACCCTAAATCGCTGTTTCCCCCAATTGTTTCCCCAATTTCTTCCTCTCTTCCCCGTTCATCTCCTCGTTCCTCTCCTCCAACTGTAACAATACCCGCCGCTGGAAAGGATCCTTGTCCCCAAGGATCAAATTCAGGAAATTGGCCTCGAAGAACCGTATAATCTTCCCATGTATCACTGGTTTCATCAAGGTTCTTCCAGCGCACTAGCCACTGCGTTACAGGTTTGTTTTGTCTATTTATGATTCTTCTTCCCATAATCTTATATGGCTCGATTTTAATCTGTCCGTCATCGTCCATGGCAGGGGGGTTCCTTGAAGAGACAATTGAATCCCCGACGTGCTTCTTCAGGAGGCTCACGTGAAAGACAGGATGTAATCTAGAAGAGTCTGGTAAGTCTAACTTATACGCAACTTCACCAATCTTCTCAATAACTTTATAAGGGCCGTAGAACTTAGCTGCTAACTTTAAATTCTTGCGCAGGGCCAATGAAGTCTGATGGTAGGGTTGCAATTTCAGGTAAACCGAATCTCCAACTGCAAATACTCTTTCTGTTCTTTTTTTATCTGTTTGTTGTTTCATTCTATTACTTGCATGCTCAAGTTGTAGCTTCACTAACTGTCTGATATCTTCTCTACTTCTCATTAAGTCACTAACAGACTGCACATTAGTTTCTGCTTGCCAAACCATAGTAGGAGGCTTGTAGCCATACAATGCCTCAAATGGTGTAAGCTTAAGGGCAGTGTGGTAGGTAGTATTATACCACCACTCTGCATGTGGCAGCCATTTAGCCCACTGCTTCGGCTGAAAAAAACATAAACCCCTCAAATATTGTTCCACACACTGATTCACCCTTTCTGTCTGACCATCAGTCTCTGGATGGTATGCAGTACTAAATAGAGTTTTAGTGCCCAGTTGCCTCATCAGTTCTCTCCAAAAGAGACTGGTAAATGTCTTGTCTCTGTCAGAAATGGCCATTTTAGGCTGGCCATGAAGTTTATAAACAGTATCCAAATACAATCTGGCTATATCAGTAGCTGTATAAGGATGTGATAAGGCTAGGAAGTGGCTGTACTTAGTAAATTTATCAACTATCACCAAAATGCAATTTTTCTTCTGGGATGTAGGCAAGCCTTCTATGAAGTCCATAGTAATAATCTCCCAAGCCTGTTGAGGAATAGGCAATGGTTGCAGGAGCCCTGGTTTAGGAATATGTTCTACTTTAGTCTGTTGACAAACTGTACATCCTCTAATATAATTTGCCACCATAGCCTTTAACTTAGGCCAATAAAAATTAGCCTTAATCCTTTGATAAGTAGCCTGTGTTCCAGAATGTCCCCCATGAGGTGAATCATGTAAGAGTTGAAGAATTTGTAATCTTAATGTTCCAGTACCTCCAATATATACTTTGCCCTTGAATCTAAGAATACCCTTAGAGTATGTCCAACAAAGGTTAGCAGTAGGACTTACTGGTAATATAGATAACCAGTCAGTTGCCATTTTATCCCCTTTATAGCTGTCTTCCACTTCTTGCACCCAACTAGGAATGATTAGGGTAGTACCCATAGCCATATACTGACCTTGATCTTCCCACTGTCTAGAAAGGGCATCAGCAACCACATTTGACTTACCCTTCCTATACTGAATAGAATAGTCGAGCCCCAATAATTTAGTCAGCCCTTTCTTCTGGATGGCAGTAGTTAATTTCTGCTCTAGCAAATATTTTAAAGGTTCATGGTCAGTTTTGATGATAAAAGGATTGCTTTCTAAATAATGCCTCCATTTAGATACTGCCATTAGAATAGCAAGATATTCTCTCTCATATATAGATAAGGCAGTATGTCTAGGGCTAAGAGCTTTACTAAGGTAGGCAATAGGTCTACCATCCTGAGATAAGACAGCCCCAATTCCTCCCGAACTGGCATCTGTTTCTAAATAAAAACTCTTCCCAAAATCTGGTAATGCTAGCACAGGGGCAACACACATAGCATACTTCAGATTTTCAAAAGCAGTTAGAGCCTCAGTACTCCAGTGAAAATTGTCTTTCTTAAGCATTTGAGTCAAAGGTTTACTGATGGTACCATAATTCTTAATAAACCTTCTGTAATAACCAGTCAATCCCAAAAAACCTCTCAAAGATTTTAAAGATTATGGCACAGGCCAATTCTTCATAGCTGCTACTTTAGTAGGATCAGTAGAAACCCCAGAAGCTGAAATAATATGTCCCAAGTACTCAACTTGAGTCTGTCCAAAGAAGCATTTAGACATCTTGGCAAACAATTGATTAGTTTTCAAAACTTCCAGAACCAATTGTAAATGAATGATATGATCAGCCATAGAAGTACTATAGACTAGAATATCATCAAAAAATACCAAGACAAATTTTCTTAAGAATGAACTAAATAATTCATTCATTAATGCTTGAAATGTAGCAGGGGCATTAGTAAGCCCAAAGGGCATTACCTTGAACTCGTAATGGCCTTGATGAGTTCTGAAAGCTGTCTTATAGATATCCGCAGGCTTAATTCTGATCTGCCAATAACCAGACCTTAAGTCGATTTTAGAAAAATAGACTGCTCCACATAATTCATCCAGTAGATCTTCCACAATAGGAATAGGAAATTTGTCCTTCACTGTCATACTGTTTAGTTTCCTGTAATCAACACAAAACCTCCAGGTACCATCATTTTTCTTAATTAAAAGACATGGAGAAGCAAAAGGACTTTTGCTTGGTTGAATCACAGAGGAGGAAAGCATATTAGCAATCTGCTTCTCTATCTCAGCTTTCTGAATATAGGGAAATCTGTAGGGTCTTAAGTTGATTGGGGTAGCTTCAGGTTTAAGAGGAATTGCATGGTCATGATTTCTTGTAGGAGGCAGTCCTGTAGGTTCAGCAAAAATAGCTTGATATTGGTCCAGAAGAGACTGGATAGCTGTAGGAGTAGTCTTGGAATCTTCACACATATTGAATAACACTACATGCCCCAAAAGAGGAGAATCAGAAACTGTCATCTTCAATAGGGTAGCTCCTGAAATCTGCTGTAAGAAATTTGACTGTTGTTGACCTTGTATAGTGATTTGCTTCCCCTTATGCACAAAGCTCATAGTCATTTTATTAAAGTCCATCAATATTGGACTAAATAATCTCATCCAATCCACCCCTAACACCATATCACTGCCCCCAATTGAAGTAGTCTGAAATCATATATAAAAGAGTGCCCTTGCATCCTCCATTCCACTTCATTACACCTTGCTGAACTGTAGAGTTGCTGCCCATTAGCTACTGTAATAGCTAGAGGAAGAGTATTTATCTGTATGCCAGCCTCAGCCCATTGAGGTGTTAAAAAACTGTGGGTACTCCCACTGTCAATTAGTATATTCAATGGTCTTCCCTGAATTGTTCCCTGAATCCTCAATGTATTATGACCAATACATCCAGTAATGGCATTCATAGATATTTCTAGATTCTCTTCCTCCTGTAAATTCTGCTGTTCTGGATCATTAGATAAAATTTCTGAAGGTAAGACACTTTCATCTTCAATCATCATATTCAACTGTTTTGCTTTACACTGATGGCCTGGAACAAACTTTTCACCACACTTAAAGCATAAATTGTTCTGTCTCCTGTAGTCTATCAGGTTCTGTTTTTGTGTTGTAGTGGATGTATTCTTCAGTGGCAGTGTTAGCTGATTAGGCTTAGAACCAGGTAGAGGAATTGAATGAGCTGGATTTTTTACAAAAGGTCTGAACCTCTTACTCTCAAAGTCCACAGAGAGCTCATATAATTTAGCTTGCCTGCTTGCCTCAGACAATGTTTTAGGGTCTAGAGCTTTAACTCTGTGTTTAATGTCATCCCTTAGTCCACTAATAAACAAAGAGACAAAAAATTCTTCACCTAAAGTAGGATTCTGCAGAAGCATGTGAGGTTGTGGTTCTTCAAATCTATCCTGATATTCTTCTACAGACCCTTTCTGGACCAGTTTTGTAAATTCCTCCATTATATCAACAAAGGCTTTATCACAAAACCTATGACATAAATCAGCCTCAAACTCATGCCAAGTCACATGATGTTTTTGCATAATATACCCATCAAACCAAATCTCTGCTTTACCTGTCAGGTACATTGTAGCTACTTCCACCTTCTGTTCATCAGCAATACTACATAATGAAAAATATTTTTAACATTTTTGTAACCAACCTCTGGAATTACTTCCATCAAAAAATGGTAGCTCAATTTTTGGTCTATGCAACATAATCCCTGACATACTAGAAGACCCTCCTGTACCTCTTTTATCCACTTCTAAAGCCACTAACTGAGTTCTAGCAGCACTGTTCTCCCCCGTTTGGTTATCATTTTTGCAGCTAGCTATATGAGCAGGCAAGACATTTGGTTTAGACTTAAGAATACCAGGCTCATCCGGTTTATAAGTAAACCGAGTCTTATCATTGATTACTGTCACCTTAACAGGTTGTTTGTTACTCATATTGGATGAATCAAGGGTATGTACCTGATCCTCAAACTGATTTTGGTCCTCTTTTCTGCCAGTCAAAATCTTCAAGATTTCCTCCACATATCCATGATTTGTAGCCAATCTAGACTCCAGTGTAGAAATCCTCTCTTCCTGAGTCTCCCACCATTTAGGTGGATTAGACTCATCTCGTCCTTGTTTCACCAGTGCTGTCAGTTCTTCCATCTGCTTCTGCAACCCAACTAATTCTTCTGCCATATTCTGATTTTTCTTGGGCATACCACCAACTTGCCAGAAACCGAGGCTCTGAAACCAATTTGTTATGGTTTAAGTCGATTAGAAGAGAAATAGAGGAATAAATAAGAGAAATAGAGAGAATTTTAGAAAGAATTAAGAGAGGAATAGCTAGTTCATTCATAACATCCCATTCAGATTGATTCTACAGCATTTTATTTAGTTACAGGGCTCCAATTGTCATTTAATAATGAGACAGCTGTCTGTACTATTAACAACCTATAACAGACTAATATTCTTCTCTCCTTGCAGGTTGTTGGGCCACCAAGCTGGGCTGCTTCACTTTTCCCGTATGAAGACTTGGGCCGACCCACTTCTGCCAGCACCCTTATCAGGTAACTTCTCTTCATCAGGTAAACACTTCAATTCTTTTTCTCCTCTTCCAATCCCTAAATTCCCTTTTTCAATTCCCTCTCGAGCCTCAATCCCTAACCCTAGATCGCTGTTTCCCCCAATTGTTTCCCCAATTTCTTCCTCTCTTCCCCGTTCATCTCCTCGTTCCTCTCCTCCAACTGTAACACTCCTCCATTACTATTCTCTTCTCTTCTGCTCACTGCTATATGTATACTGGTCAGTTTAGAATGTATGGTCATCAAAAGAAGATCCCCTCAGGATTTAAATCCTTATTGGATGGAATAATAAGAGCTAAAGAGTCAAAATATTTGGATGAATTTTATGTATATTCTCTTACCCTACACTTATTTATTTATAATCCACCTTGAAATATACTCATTCACCAGTATCCTAAGGGATAAAGAAAAAAACAACCCATTTTCTAACCATTATGATATGGGTTCTAAGAATAGAGGGTTAGTACTCTTTCAACTAACAAATCGGTTCTTCAACATGATCAGAAGCTTCTTCATTTACAATGCTTTACTAGTATCCGTTGATTATCAGAAGCATATAAAAATCTACAGCATGCCATAGTTCGAGTACTAAAATATCCTTCACAAATTACACCTATACCAAGTTGCTTACACCTTTGTATTGAAAAGGAAAACTAGTTTTTGGTAAGTCAAATTGCCCATTAAGTTGGTTTAAAACTACCTTCACAGTGCAGCTTGTACAGCGTATAAAGTAAAACAAATTCAAGTCTGTTTGAAGAATGAAGTAGTCCTATAATCAGCAATTCAAAACTATGAATAAAAATGATTTCTTTGTACATAGAATTAGAATCAACAAAAAAGTAGTCCAAGTCCAATACGTTTCCCAGCAATAATGAATCTATTGAACCAGGAAAAGGAAACCCATACCGCGAAAAACATTTATCATATTTCAACTTCAACAAGAAAGCATAATCATTAAAAGATAAAAAGGAATCGATCATTACATTCTATGAAATTTTAATTTAATTTCCTTCTACAAAAAAGAACATTATTTTAAACCAAAATGAAACCCAGATGTCTGTGATGCGATGAGAAATTACCTTTTCGTCACACAGACTGAGAAGGCGATGTTGACTCGATCCTACTCCCCCTCTCTCTATGAGTTGGAAATGGAATGATCGAGTGTTTCAATATAGCTTTTTCCATTCGTTTATGTTAACTCTATTTAAATTGTCACAAAAACAAAACAAAAAAAAACTTTATTTATTATTATTTTATGTTTAATGGTATTTATTTATTATTTCAAGAGAGCTTATATAATTTTAATTTTTAATTTAAAGACTAACTAGATATCACTTAATTTTATCTGTTGATTTATTTATACTATTAATTTTTTTTATTTTTTAATTATAATTATAATTTTATATTCAATTGTGTCATTTCATTATTCAATTGATAAGAAAATAATGACATAATTAACCGTTATTGACATGATCTGCCACATCAAAACGTCATTATTTTGGTGTGATTGTTTTGGTGTCTAAAACATCTTTTTAGACATTGTATTTTGAAAGTATATCGATTTTACCACTAAACTTTTAAACATTTTACTTTTTTACATTGCATTTTGTTGCGTGTTGTGAGTACTATAAAATTATACGCAAATAATGTGCAAGTATACACAATTGCAAAAGTAATAAAGTGATGAGTGAGTATCGTCTCAACAGGGATTGGAAGGATATTGAGTGAAGTTTATGCACTATTCTATCTAAGTATAGTTAGTCTTGATATATATAAATGTCATGGCAAATGAAAAATGTATGATGCTGGATATGGATGAATAGTCTGATGGTATAGTAAATGGAAATGCAGTGACAAGAACAGATGTTTAATGTTGAGTATGCTAAAATGTCAAGGCAATGAAAAATGGTAAATAAACAATAAATAAACAACAAATAAAATGAAAAGAAGATAATCCTCACGTGACAAGCTTTCAATGGAATGAATGGTAGAGATTGATTTGAGGATGCTAAATTTATTTCTCAGGCATATTTAAGTTTTCTGGACTTCACTTACTCGACAGGGCTTTCCTAAAGTGTTCTCAAATGAACCTAACAAAATAGGATGCCAAGACATCTGCTCTCACTCAACGATGTTGGCCAACCTACCCTATTGATAAATACACCCTTTTTAGTCGTTGAAATCCTATCCTAGTCTCTCCCGAGATCTAAGGGATTAGGTTATAATATTTATAGGCCGGTTCAAAGCCCCTTGAAAATACTATAACCCATTGCTTATGAGGATCTTGTCTTGTGTTTCTCTCGAATACTACAAGTATTTTTAGTTTAGGTTTCTCTCGAACACCTAACCTTCATCTAAGAAATGGACACGCACATGCCTCTTACAAGCTTAGATGGTGAAGCATTCATAAGTAAAGAAAATAAAGAGCCAAGATAAACTTAAATATACCATTAAAATAAAGTTTAAACAACCATAAAACCAACCACCACCAAATAAGTTAGTTCATGGTGGGGTTCGAAATATCCATAGAAAAATCCATAAAATATTCGTTCCAACAACCCATAAATAAAATAAATAAAATAGTAGCAAAGGGAAGTGAGAAAAAGCCTTCGACGCGCGCTACCAGAGATCTCCTCGGCCACCACGAACCACCTTAGCTCGCTAGCTCCTTTCGGCACCTAGCTCACCACTCCTTGGAGCTTTATCAATGGAGGAAAACCCAAGGAAGAAGAAAGGGAAAATGAAAATAAAAATGAGATTTTTCTGCTCTATGCGTCTCTTTTTTTCCACACCCTCTCTCTCTTGTGAGGTGTAATATATAATAAAAATATATAGGGGTAATGATGAGATTGTTGGGTGAAAAATACCCCTCATACCCCTAGAGTCACACCTTGTGTGTGAACCTTATCCTCTAGGTGGCAGTGGTCCTATAGCAGGCTGTTACAACTATCATTTCATGTGCAGAGCCAGCTGTCCTCGTACAACTGTATCTTTTTGTTGTTTTCTGCACCATAAATGCCAAGGCATTTCAATCTGCGTGTGATGACGCTGCATTACTTCCCAGCTCTCCTATTTTACTTGTTATTTTTCTGCACATCACTAAAAACCACACCTTCCTCCCCATATATCACCTTAATAAAATAAAATAACATAACCACCACAAATGCAATTATATGCAGCTACATACATCTAAAATGACCTATATGTACCCTTAAACAAACAATAACTTAAGTCAAAAATGCCTTAAAAGTAGTATTTTTACGGAGTTATCACACCCCCAAACTTAAGCTATTGCTTGTACTCAAGCAATGGATAACAATTAACACAATCAAAATGTCATGGCATTTTTCATCAATAGGACAACAAGACAAAAATTGAATTTCAACCCTCAGAAAAATTGGCTTCAACTTGCTAGACATATCAAGAATTCAAGTACTTTTCCCTAGGTCAAGATTCTTTATGGTGTTGTGTGTGCTTGATTGTATCTAATCTATACTTAACGAATTTAGACAATTTCTAATTGAGTTCCCTAGTTTTGCCACGACATTTACTCATTCATTAAGCACATTTATATTCCCTTTTCACTTACTACACATTTTTTTTCACTTTTTTTTACGCTGCTACGAAGGGAGTCAGCTCATCACACCTATCATCCCACACTCTAGGTGAAAGGGAGCATACCTTCCACCCCCAAGCTAGTCAGGTAGAGTCATCCCATAACTACTTTCATTCACTCGTATGCGCATGGCTGCCATTTATTAAAAGAGAGTTCCAGGCAATGCCATGGCAAAGAGGAGTGTCCCTCTACAGCTATGCCGAAGAATTTATTCATGATTAAACAAAATTCAGACATAAGGGAGTTCTTAAACAGTGATTTATCATTTAAGCATAATATCATATTTTAATGGCAAGGCTAACCAGTGTTCTTTCATAAAAATTTCCTAAGTTCCTTAAGTATATAGAACATACAAATCGTGTAAGAATAATTCACAAAGCATCAAGCCCTAGAGTTAGTTCTATCATTCTCAACATTCATTTGCATTCAATTTCCAGCCTAACAAGTTCATCATCATCGGGTACCATTAAAACATTTCATCTAACTGTCCTATCATTTACTGATGCCATGGCATAACATTATGCTAATATTATCATGCACATATTCTACAAAGAACACTACCTCCCCCAAACTTGAGCGAAGCATTCTCTTCAATGCTGAATAAAAACTAAGTGAAAACTAGACTACATGCTATGTGATGCAATGCAAGGTACCTTGTCTTCTTAAGATGGTGGTGGAGTCGCGCTGGCAGTGCTAGTAGTATTGCATATGGTGCACTTCCTCAGTGATGTGGTGCTTTTGTCAGGATCAGAATTGGGTTCAGCAGGTGGTGTACTAGGGCCTTCAGTGTTCTTAAATGTTGAGGTCTTCATACGCCCAACAGATGGTTTCAGACGTCATTTAGTCCATGTTGACTGGGTTAGCATCATTTGGCTTGGGTGTACTGTCTTGTTGAGTGATATTTGGAAATGTCGTGGCATCCTCAGATGCTGGAAAAATCACATCCATGATGACTGAAAGATTATAAGTCAAATGTAAGAGCATCTCGTTATGAACAAGTATCACGATTAAGTCTTGTTAGAGCCTAGATTGCATCTATCTTTACCGTGGCATATTGGTTTGCAGCAGCCTGTGAAGTTCCCTCATGAGATTTCATCATATTCATCCTCCAAAACACCCTTCGTTCTAAAAAGAAGTAATATTAAAATTAAAAATAAAGAAATAAAACAAAGAAAAATAAACAAACAAACATTCACAACAAAATAAAACTTCTAAAACATAAATTAAAAAGGGTTCAAGGGATACAAACTCCAAAACATCGTGAATTGTCATGGCATTTTTGTCGCGTTCGATTGGAGCACCAGTATAGACCAAAATGCTCCACACATATAACAGTGCCACTTTTAATGTAAGGCGATAGAACCCAATTTGTAGGACCTTTGCAGTAGTCCTCTCTTTTCTCTCCCCGTTATCGTGGCATCTTTTAATTGCTTGGGAAATAAAGTCGTTCAAAAAGTAGGGGTCATCATCCTGCATCAATCTGTTCTTGCCCTGGCTATTCAAGTACAGAAGCAAAACACCATTAACAAGAAAATTTACAATGTCGTGGAAAATAATAATTTCTCATCGGGGAATTTTTTTCTCCATTTTAATATG